TTAACTGCAATGCAGTGATCAGAGTGGAAAATGGCAAAATGAAGTGGAAATGAGGGTATTATAGAGATAACAACAGCTGTGGGACTTAGAAGAGGATACAAGTCACTGGCCTAAGTAGGAGAACTTATAACAGGAGATGTACTGGGATTTGAAAGAAACTATGGCAGTGACAGTAAGAGGAATGAGACAATGCCATCAGAATGCAAACGTGAACACCCATCACAGTGAGATTTTTCCATACTTACAGCACAAACGCAAAAGAGGCCAAATAGATTGGAAAGTTGGGAAGTGAAGAGATCAAGCAGCAGGCTTAAACAAACAAAAGAGAATACTTTTCTCTCAAAGCACATAATTCAATTCAGAAACTTGTTGCTACAGGTTATTGTGAAAGCTAAGATGATAAATGTTTTGAAATGGGACTGGACAAGCAGGTGGAAGATAAATACATTATAATCCCAAGGAAAGGTGCAGTGAGACCTTTGGTCATACACATTGTAGGAGATCTTCTGTTTGAAAGTACATTTCAAAATATTAACGAGGATGTAACTCGGTCTTTCAGTTGCCTTTATTTGCGAAAAATAGCTTGTCTGAGAAAAAAAATACAAAATAATTGAGAAGCTGAAGCCACGAGAATATGTTATGCCACTTTTTATTCTCCAGAGATACTGAGTTTCTGGCTCAATAGCTTTCTGCTGTATGTGTAATTGTGGCAGTAAGAACTGCCTTGACCAACCAGAGCTGCTGATTCATGTTAATTTCCATACTGCTTTGATAGTTAATTGATACACAACACATTATAGCTCTGAATATTTCAATTAATTGAATGTGTGTCTTTAGATTGGTAAATCAGGATATTTCACCACGGCACTTCATTTCAAATAGCTCTGCAAATTATCAAATGCTGGTTTCCATTAAGAAGATTTCCCAGTGATGTGGACTTCTGCTACCCACTCAATATGATGTTGAACTAAGTCTTCAGCGGTGACATCCAGAGGTTATGAACTACCGCTACATACATAACAGCTGTGTCTTCAGTTTGATGATGATGGACCACTTCCTTTCTTAACTCCAGCTAAATCAATGCAGTTATTACCTAAGCTTTGCAAGTACAATCTATGTTTTTGGGTTGAGTTTGACAGTGAGCTCTGTTTACTGATGATTAATGACTAGTATTTGGACAAAGGTAAACAAAAATTCTTAATAAATTGGAAGACAGTGAAAATTGCCTGGGGCCTGTTACTGAAGAAAGGGTGTAATATATCTAGCCAGAATGTGCACTTCTAAAGCACTAAGCTTGCCAATTAGAATACAGAAACGACAACAGCTGCAGGCATTAAAGCTTGTGGCTTTGTTACTGCATGAGACAAATGTTTGAGCAAACTACATGTCTTGCCTTTGTACTGCTGCCTATAAACTCTGACTTTGTGCCCACCTTCCTGCTTCATGAAGTATTTTCTTGACATTTATTATTAATAATAAAAGTAAAGAAAAATGAAAGTAGCAGCCGTATTGATTCAGCAAAGCAGCATGAGCATACTTAATAGCCCATGCCTTTTACCTGATTCAAATACGTTCAGTTTCTTTGAATTCTGATTTCTTTAATTACACTACAAATCTAAAAAGACTTTTTGTTATCAGATACTAATTATATTAGACAGATTGCTATTCATCTGCTTATAGCAATATTTATTTCCACTGCCATCACTTAACATCAAAACAGTATTACCTCATCATCATTTACAGTGGAAAAAATATTATTTTTCTGTATAATTTTGTGTCTAGGTTGGTCCACTTAAAGGCATGAGACACTATTTGCTTGGTTTGTATATTTAATATGTATATATACTTTGCTTACCCTTAATGTCTAATTATGAGAAACTGCCCCTTCCATTTTTAGGCAAGCTTCTCTCTACACTAAAGCAGTTTAAATCTCTTCTGAGTTAGCAAGCTAACTTCAGAAATTGAGAGAATTAGTAGACTGAGTCCCACTGAGAGAGAGATTTCATAGAAGGAAAAAAAGAATAGAAGCCAGATGAAACTTTTACAACTTTAATATACAGAAAGACAGAAAACCTTTTGAAGTAGAAGTGAAAAAAAGGAAAAAATGTAGAAGAAATCACAGCATGGATAAGAAAAGAACAGCTCTGACTCAGGCTAGACTCCCCTGCCTCTGCAGAGGATGCCGCCCATGGATGTCCCCTGCCTTCTCATATAAGCTTACCTGGAAAAACAGAATCGGCCATAGTATCTCTCTAAACTTGGACATGTGATTATCATTCTTTCTCTCCATCACTGCAACTACTCTGGGCTTGAGAGTTTCCTAGAAAAACTATTAATTGTTTAACAACTATGGAGCTGGACTTTCAGAGGCTCTACTAAGGCAGTGGCTACTAACACTCAGGGCACTTATGCCTTACTCCTTACAGATCTGGTAGGTCACTTTCCCTAGACCTTACTTCCTTTACCTGCAATTTAAAAGAACCTCTTGTGAAGAAATTCTCTCCTCATGCAGATTCCTCCCCTCTCCTCTCCCATGTCTTTGTGAACATACCTCCCCTTATGTTAAATCTGGCATGTACTTCTATTAGAAACCTAACGTTTAAGGCAAGAAGGCATACTTATATGATAAATCAGCTCTGACACAGGAGTAGAGCAAAAAAAATTAAATTACATCTACACATTAGGCACAGAGGACGGGATGAGAAATCAAAGGATGCTCCCAGATATGTTTAGGAAGGTATAGAAAAAAAATTACATTCTCTATTAAATGGAAGAATGCATTTCAGAAAATTATAAAAGTAGGTTTGATAGCCCCCAGAGAGAGAGAGAGAGAAAGAGAGAGAGAGAAAGAGAGAGAGAGAATATTGTATAATTTTGGGAGGATTATGTTTCACTAGAGACACTCATGAACGCAATGAGCTAAAGAAGGGATAAGACACTGCCTAAACTGATCTATACAACTGATTGTGCTACACGATAAAATAATTGTGTCAGTCTCTTCTGTACTTAAAAACGTAACAACTCTGAAACGCAGTAAGTTGTTAAACACTAAACATCATCACATACTCTGTCACACTACTTTCATCATTTCAGAAACCTTGGAAGAACCTGACATTTACCTCCTTTAGTTTTAACACTGGAATTGCAGAAATGCAATTAGGAAAACTCTGGTATTCGTAACAGAAAAGGTCAGCAATGTGCAAGCTAAACCTGATAACGTGCCTAATGTGCTGCCAAACATAACAGAATGCCTTCCTGATAATGAATGGTTTTACAGACTGCCATGAAGTTGTTGCAAGATAATCAGATCAACAGGGGGCATGCCACTATGCGAAAGACACATTGGAGATTGTAAAATATTCTTTGATAGAAGTATATTGCAAAGTCACCACTGATGGAAAGATCTACCATTATAAAAGGCCATGTTTTCAGAAATAATCACATAAATATATTGGGCAGAAAACATAAATGACAGAAGTTTCAACATTTGGTAAGCACAGAAGACATTACCTCATGAAAGGCAGTGCACTTTGTGCCTGCAGCCCACAAGCAATACAACACGACCTCCGGGATGTAAAAGACACGTTTTCTTTTTCTTTTCTTGTAGTAATCAATGTAAGTAGAGGTTAGAGGGTTTAGTTTTTCTGTTTGTCTTTAATACAGAAATACTCACGCAGCAGTACAGGCTCTGTGTTCCTCATGCAAAGACCTCCTCCTTACTTGTGCCACTAATCCTATGTAAACTAATAGTGAACTTTAAGAAAAATGAAAAGTAATCTAAGGGGTTCTTTTGATAAATGACATTTCATCAACAGCGCTAAAAAAATATCTCATTACTGAAAGCTGAAAGTAGCACTTATTAAAGGTTTTCTGCCAAATACCTAAAGGCAGGTTAAACCTTTAGTGAAAAATGTTTTTGAGAGCTTGTGAACACCAAGGAAACATATATTTGTTATACTTGAATTCATCATGAGCAAATAAAATCTATATAGTTCCCATGTCTATTTACAGACTATAATTTGTACTAGACTGTTTCATTTTATTTTGTCATTTTTATTGGAAGTTGCATTTTCTTAAAAACTAGAGGAAAAAAAAAGTATCGTCATGAACTACATTGGAGCTTTCGCCTCTGTATTCACTTAGGTTAAAATTCAAATTACAGAACTCACAATTTTCCAGGAATTATCACATACATATCTGTGATGATAGAACATTATGTTTTGAGACTGCTAGATCCATATTGCAAAGCCGTATTAAAGGCAAATGCTAACTTTATATTATAGCTTCTCCTAAACCTGAGTTATATCAATCTGTTTAATAATTAATGTAAAAGCCAGCTATTCTTTTCATGTGACACATATTGTTGCCTTATTAATTAAGGAAATCAAATCAATTGTAGTTTAATGTGAACCTTCCTATTTTTCAATTTTATTAGAAGTAGTAACGTGAACTTAGGACATGACATATTTTTGAGGATTGACGGTAACGATAGGCCAGATGATGATCAGCTAACTTGCATAAGCTGAACTTTCTCAGTAGCAGGCTATAACTCGTGTGAAGAAAAGTATCTGATACCCTGTCTTTGGTGATCTATTGAAAAAAAAAAACAACAAAAAACCCTCAAACACCTGTTTGTCTGGTATTTCCATATTTCTCTTCATATATCTTTTTGTAACTGGCTTTACCTGAACAGTGTATGCCTGAGGCAAGTATTTATAAAACAGTACTGAGATGCTGCAAAACATTTTTACAGGTGTTTACTTTGCAAAAAGTTCACAACATTAGCGAATATATTTTGCTTAAACTGTATGAAGAGAGGCATGCCAATAAAAAGAAGTAAACATACTCCCCACAACTAGATGATGACATCAATGAAAATGCAATTACTTCCAGTTTTTTCTTGCTACTCTTTTGGTAATGATCACAAACAACTGATTGTATTTTCTTGAAATGCTACATATGCATAACACGCACCCAAAAACTAACACGAATGCACTCACCATGTACTATCAGGACATACTCTGTGCTGTTTCGGCCAATAGGGTTTTTTGCTTCACATCGGTATGTGCCATTGTCTGTTTTGTTTAGGAAACTGATGCTTAGGACCCTGCCGTTGACAACCATTCTCTCTGGATCTGGTAGTTCTCCACCATCCTTTGTCCAAAGTACTGGTTCTGGCCTGTTGGATCCAAAGCAATGCCTTTAATCAGATACGTGAAGCATGTATATGCAATATATACATCAGAAACAGGAGCATCAGAAACTTATGAATAGTAACCTGCCATCAAAGAATATTCAACGACCATTTGAGTTACTGTCACTACTACAACCTCACCATCCCTGATGGGAACTACTAAAGACAGTGAAAGAACAAGCAGGGAAAAGAAGAGACACAAAAAAGGAAACAGAATGGTACTGGAACAGGCCAAGATCTTCCCTAAATTAAAAAACAGTTCTCGCGAGGTTTCTGGGCCCCAGTTCAGCAAGCTGCTTGGCAAGCAAGTGAAAACAGCTTCCCATTTGTGTGATGAGCAATATGGTCCTGTGTGGCTGACAGGCGTCAGAAATCATGCAAGCAGGCTGAGGTAGATGTAAGTGGTTTGTAAATGGATTCTAAAATTATTTAGGCTATTCACATTCACAAGTACACTTGCATGCGCTGAGTGTTTTTCCTGAACCAGGCATATCAGTCTCAAAGCAGCACATCTTACACACAATCTAAATTTGTTTCTGTTGCTGCATTGTGTCACAGCCCATCCCTTTTTCCACCCTTTCCGCATCCTTCCCTCAAATAATTGCTTGTGACACACGTTATCACAAGCAATGTAAGATTTGACTTAAAATCCTGGATTTTCTTCTTTTGTGAAACCTTTCCCCTTGTGCATCAAACAGACCAAAGGCAGAGCACTGACAGCGATAACCCCCGAGGCAAGGTAAGGCACAGCAGAGAAGGGAACTGACCATCCTGCAGATTCCCACCTACCTTCCCACAGGCAAGTGATACCTAACGCTTTCCCAAAGACTCTCAAGAAGCTCCACAGTTCATGAGATTTGCTTAACAGACAGCAGGATGTATTTATCACTGGTACGTAGGCTTTCCTTACACGTAACAAGATCTACTTTCAAATTTACATGAGGGAAATCACCAAAAAGACGAGTCTGTGACTGGGAATGAAAAGTTGGCTTACTGAATCCTGACTCTCCCTCAGACAGACCATCTCAGGTCCTTAGATATTAGTCACTACAGCAAGATATATACAGTCTAGGCATTCACTGCTACATTACTTGTGTCTGGTAGCTTTGTACACTATAACCCAAATACCAATCCCTTCCTTTTGGGTACACTACTTAAGTAATTTCAGTCAGAAGCAGTTCTAGATTTGCACATTTATTTGGTAGGAGAAGATTACATTACATTTTCCTATCGAAGTATGCAGTTGTACGACTAAGTAATAAGCCAAAATATAAACCACTGTTATAAAATCAGCAGATGCAAAATTAGTCTCTAGTCTTGCTCAATAAATACTCACTTTCATCAATTTAAGCAGGTGTTTACAGTCTCTTAAATATAATAAGTGTTAAGAAGAATTAAACCTAAATACCTAAGGAGAGACATTTTGCCAAAATATGGCTTCATGCACAGAAAAATAGTCCTAATGTCTGTAATGACATGGTTTTCTTTTAAGTCAAGGAAGACATGTAAACAAAGTGAATTTTTTCCAAAATGCACCTACTGGTATATAATTTATATTACTTTTTAAAGTTAAAATACTATAACTTATGTTTCTCTTGAACGATAACAGAGATTTATACACACTTTAGTAATATTTGGATGACACCTTGTTAAATCGTTGTTGAACTTGTTACCTAGACTGGCTATTCACTGGAGTTAGGATATTTTAGAAAATCATATACTCAGGGAATATAACAAGATTCATGTAATTTTAAACCAAGGATTAAGAACTGTCGGTGTAATGGGCCTTATTTATACCTTACTGTAAATACGTCTTAATAGTCTTCCTAAGTGCACTTTCGGGAACTGGTATCTAAATACATGACACACTTCCTTTCTGCTTAATGTGAGCAGGGAATCTAGATGCCCATGCTGTTCCAGAAACATTGCCCTACAGAGTTCACAACATTAAGGCGCGATTTGCTTTGATATGTTAAGGTGGATTTGTCCAATTTTCTTGCAAACTCCTCATTGTTCCCCATTTACCAGCTTACTGTGAATCTGTAATCCCAGGAGCGGAAACTTTGAAACACTTCTGCTACAATGTGCACCATTACCTTCATAAATGGCATGTTAAAGCAACTTCTGTGCAGTGGTAATTTATGGAACTTACATTTTAAATTGAAATTAGATGGCATATCCTAGGGGAAAACCCATAGGATAACAAATAGCTATGAAATGGAGCCTTCGATATAAATTATTCAGAGAGCTTTGTCACATTGTAATATACCAACTTTAGTCTTATACAGAGTGGTTAGCTCTGTTTGCAAAACGATGGTGGCAGAAAAACTATGGCTTAGAGAGAGGCAGATCTACCTACTCTGCATATTGGGGAAGCTGCTAATTAACAGTTAATATTAAGCCACCCTGTGCTGGCTTAGTGGCAGCAGCAGAGCAATTCATGGGCAGCTGGCCCATGGCCAACACATCATGGTGGCGGGGCACAGCTCTCACTCCATCTCACTGCTCTCAGGGAGGATGGTGCCTAACGCAGAAATTCAGTCACAGCCACAGAATTAAATTTTGCCTGCACTGCTGGGAAGCTTTGAGACACTCTGGTCTAAACAATTCATTACCGAGGCAGAAGTGAGCTAAGAACATGAGACGTGCTCACACACCCAGGCTGGCATGCTGCTGCAGACAGTGACAAGGGGAGCGGCTGTCTGAGGAAAGCGTGCGAGTGTGGCCATTTCTGTGGTCCGTTCCCCCTGTACTCCGCCAGCACCCACAACCATCCTATCGGGGATGGTGGAGGGCACATCTCTTGTTCTCTTCTGTATCTACTTAGCATTTAGGCCTGTTGCCTACGAATGTCCCTAATCTCTTTTTGAATCTGCTTATACCGTCTGTCAACCCAGCCTCCTGTGGCAATGAATTCTGGAAGTTCCCTACCTGCTGTGCAAAAACATATTTACTTTATCTGTGTTACACTGATCTCCTAGCAGTGGCAATGAATATTGCAGGATATGGTAAGTAATGCTTCTGCATATTATAACCTTGTTATGATAGCCTTGTACTTAGTAGGCCTCTCTCTCTCCCTCTTTCTCTGTTTGCTTGAATTTGATACCTTCTGAGATTATTGGCAGGGGAAAAAAAACATTCCCGGGAAAAAAGAGTAAAGGAACTGCAAATTTAGAGCACATAGGCTATTCCTTGATAATTGATTTAGTACCTTCATTGTCGAAAGCACAAATGCAACTGAAGCACCAATGGGGAAGCTTTCCTTCTGTGACACAAAGCACAGGGAACTGTGAAATCCCCACACTTTATCCTACTGAAACGTGGTCAAGGGTGCAGATCCAGACAGACGTTCTTTCTCTTACCCAACATTTTGAAAGGATTCTGGCTCAGCTGAGGATATTGAGGTTTGACATTCTAAAACACCTGGCAAATGCATACACTCCTAATATTGCACATTTTTCTCCATTGCATACATCTCCCATACTGCAGAATTTCAGCTTTTTTTCACATACTAAAGAGTTGCCATAAGGCTATTACTCTGTGGACTGGAACAAACAGGGTATCCCCATACATTTGCACTTAGTTCAAGGTGAGTCACATTTAGCAGTTTAATTCCCATTTTTCTCAGACAATCCCGAAAACATCTTTCTTGGAGCACAAGAGCTATAAAGTCAGAATGAGCACTGTGGCCACTAATGCAATTGCGTGTTACTACCTTCACATATTTCATGGCACGAATGAGCTCACTGACCTGCTCTGTCCCAACAGGACCATGCAGTCTGCTAGTACCAAGGCAGTCACCCAAGGAACAAGTCTGTCCTCCTTTTTTTTCCGCCCCATCTTCAGTGAGAGGTGTTTTTCTATATCCCTTGTTTAATCCCTCCCTTATGGATGTGGTAAAGTGGAAATGAGCTGTTATCACTGAAACCTGTCACGGGGTTGAGGGAGGTAGCAGAGCTGAAGCACCAAGATGCAGTTCTGCTTCCAGCTTACCTATTCTAATTTGCTCCCAGTGTGACACCTTTCAAAACAAAAACAAACAAATTAAGCATGCTTACTAAAGAAGTTCTTTCAAAGACACAGCTCAAATGTGAAAGCCCATGGTATTTCTTTGGCTACTATGTATTGCTTTTACTGATTTGGCTTTGCATGCAGCCGCCCACAGTGGCACTATCAGGACTGTGTTAAACTGAAAGAGGCCGGAGATACCAATCACAAACATACTAAAAATCATTAACTATGACCAATGATTTCTCTGCCTGCCCCTCAAAAGAAATTTGAGCTCTATACTCTGTCTCTCTCAAGAACTGCTAACGGGGCTTAGATTTTGGTATAATTTATGTTTAAACCTAGTAAAAATGCTCAGAAGCGTTCAGTAACTGACTTGCAACTGGTTTTTAGTATAAATAAATGATTTTATTAACTGTCTTCATGTTAGCATCAAACCTTGACATAAAAAGCAGCAGAATTTGGTATTCTTTCCCAAACTCAAATGGGACTGCAATGAGGATATCAAGAAAATTGTATCGTGTTCCGAGATGATTCATGTTTTATAGTGTGGAACAGGAGTTTTCTTGCAAGCAACTTAACAAAGAATTTGTAAATAAAGTGAAATTATTTTCTAATCCTGAGGCTAAGAAACCTTTTCTTCCAAAATAAGTTGGCAAGAAAGCTAAGGGCAAACTGGGATGTGATGGTTGGGGGGAAAAAAGTTTTAAAAACCACAGTGAGATCTTATTAGAAAACAAGATTTAGGGACAGACTTACATTTTCAACAAGTGTTTATGTAACATGAAAATCCACAGTTAATATTTAAGTTCACGTCAATATTTCTTATAATCTAGGCTTTTAAAAGTTACACAGTGGTATCTTAAAACAAGTTTGTTAATTTTCCATCCCTTTCTCCCTCCTTAACCAAAGGACTATGATGCTTCAGTGCTTTCCTATAATCCTCCTTTGTAGCAATAGCTTTATATGTAACCATT